GGATCCAGGGCAGGACGGACGGAGGGTACCCTGCTGGTCCCTGGGGGCGTGATGGGGGCTAGGCCAGGCGGGAGCAGGAATGAAGACAGACAAGCGGGGGATGAAACTGTTGAGACAAAGCAGCCGGTCTTATCTGTGGTCCACAGTCCTCTTGTGGTCCTGTCCCCACATTCTGGGGACAGCCATCCTTTGGACATTTGTGTTTTGGTTTTTCATCCTTTGCACATTCGTGAAGGACTTTTGCCACACCGCGATGCGGACTCTGGTGCCCACGGCAACGAGGGCCCATGGGGCTGCGTGTAGGTTAGACACCGTGCTCCATCCGACTTTGGCCAGACAGATGTCCTCAGACACTACCCAGCGTCCCCTGTGGGGCAGACTCACCTCCCAGGTGAGACGCCCTCCTTCACCTGTTCTGCAGCATTCATGCAAAGGGACTCATGTGGTTCCCTGGTGGGTTAGCACCTCTGTTGACGATTGGAATTGCAAAACGTCACTATTCTAAGTATCTTTTCTTTCTCTGTTAGCTGGGAAACTTCCCTGGGGAAAGTTCTCTGTTGCAGTGTTAATCACCCCAGGTACAGCTCGCGGAGGAAACACAGAGCACGGGGCTAGCTGGTTGGAACGCGCAGACTTACGTGACATATTCTAATGCTACGCATTTGCTTTATCAACATTTCACTTGTCCCATTGCTTTTGGCCAGTTGGAGGCCCTCCTCGAGTTGGCTCTGCGTCTCCGTGATCCTCCCTGGGAATCCTCAGTGCAAAGTGGTAGTCGTTGGCTTTCTGGAGAAACTCTGATGATTCAGGCGGGCTGGTGATCTTAAGCCCTGAAGCATGTGGTTTGAATGCAGATGTCCTGTGTCCTTTGAGTGTCCAAAACCTGACCTTGAAACTTTTTTTTCCCCATGTTTACTTTTTGAAAAAGAGAGAGCAAGGGAGGGGCAGGGAGAGGGAGACACAGAACCCGAAGCAGGCTCCAGACCCTCAGCTGTCAGCACAGAACCCGACGTGAGGCCTGAACTCACAAACTGTGAGATCGTGACGTGAGTCAAAGTCGGACGCTTAACCGACTGAGCCACCCAGGCGCCCCTGTGACCCTGAACCTCTTGAAGGAAGGGACCTGCCAGCCGATAGTAGGTGCTGGAAGTCAGGTAGAGTCAGCCGTGGGAGCAGCAGTGTCTGCCGGGAGGAAGGTCTTGAACCAGGCCCGGAGGCCACTGCGGACAACGGATCCGTCTGACCAGCCATGCTTTTTTGTACTTTCTGTCCACCCACTAAGGATGAGGTCACTGTGCACACGGGTGGTGGAACCAGGCATGTGCTCGGGGACTCAGACCATGAAAACAGCCCCCTTTCCTCCCTGTCCTCCTCCCCTCTGCCAAGGGCACCTGCCAGCGCCACAGGGCCCTGCCAGCTGGCTCAGACGTGCTGGGATCCTGCCAGACATCCTGGCCTAAAACAGCAGAGCCACATTCACTTCCAAGGGCAGCGCCCCAGGGCCCCTGGGGGCCACGGAGAAGTTCTGGACTGCAGTAGGGCAGGTTGAGAATGTTGCTAGTGTGGGTTAGTCTTTGCAACCCGCCTTGGGTGGGGGGATGGGAAGGTCCGTTTTTCTCAAAACGCAGGTCGTTTTCTCTGCCCGAGTGTCCCACGTGTATGCTTGCTGTTCTCTTTTTCTTTAATGTTTGTTTATTTTAAGGTCGTGGGGGGGGGTGCGCAGAGGGAGAGGGGGAGAGAATCCCAAGCAGACCCCACTCTGTCAGTGCAGAGCCCAGCTTGGGGCTTGAACTCACAAACCGTGAGATCATGACCTGGGCCAAAATCAAGAGTCGGCTGCTTAATCGACTGAGCCCGCTCCCCCCCTCCCCCAGGCACCCCTGTTGTTCATTTTTGAAATGTCATGAAATGACATTCTCCCCAGCCGACTCTATCAGACTACCCCCAACTCCACACCTGGCCCACCACCTGCATTTGTAAATAAAGTTTTATTGGCACACAGCCACGCCCATCTGCGTCCGTGTTATCTGAGCCCTTCTGCAGGACAGCTGGAGAGCTGAGTAGGGCCAGTGTAACTGCTTGTGAAAACAAAAATATTGGCCGTCTGGCCCCGTGCCAAAAAGTTGATCCACCCCTGGGTTAGAGTGTGTTCTTCTGGAATGTTTAGCGTTTGTGGAAACCGCTGAAATCCCCCGATCGAAGGCTAACCTTGATTGAGCTGTGGGTCAACAGCAGCCTGTGGGATTTCCTTCCTTTACTTTCTGTCTCTTGTTGATGGAGCAGTGCCTGGCCCGAAGCAGCGGCGAAAATACGTGGCTAAAATGGGGACCTCTCTTAATCAGGCTCTTCCTGCCCCACCAGGGGTCATCCGTTGTGTTACGCTGGCCGTGTGTTTGTGCTCCCTGTGCTATTTATTTAACACCCTTCTTTAAATCCGCTTTTCAAGATTCTTTCAGAAAGACTGATGTTATCACTTACTGAAAACAGAAAGCCAAATCATCTGCTATAAACCGCTAGCAAAAATCGCGAAATGCTCACTTGTGCGCCTTTTTCGACGCAAGTAGCTCAGATTCCACAATTCAGGCAGCTCTGACTCAGGTGGCCCTACAGAAGGGGAAACTGAGGCTGCGTGGCACAATCACTTTAGAGCAGGGGGTGGTAAACATTTTCTTAACCAGATTGGTAAATATTTTTGGCTTCGTGGGTCAGTCTCTGTTGCAACTACTTACGTCTGTTAGCACAGAAGATAGGTAAATGAACGGGCGTGACCGTGTGCCAATAAAACTTTGTTCCTAGGGACAAGTGGTATTTGGCCCGAGGGCCGGGGTGTTTAGACCCTCGTGCCCTTCCAAGGCCTCTCGATCTTGGGAACCGCGGTTCTCATCATGCCCGTTTTGCAGATGGGGAAAAGCAAGGCGGGGGACCCCTTCGCTCCAAGGCTCCACAGCTTGCGAGGGGCACAACTTGGGCAGGTGCGTTCAGGCCCGAGGGCCGCACGCCGAAGCCTGAGCGGTACACGCGGCCGGGTCCCGGCCCTCACGACGCCTGTCCTTCCTTCCTCCCTGCAGCCCGCCTCGCCACGTCCCTGGAGGGCTTCGACATCGCGTCGGTGCAGCAGCAGCGGCAGGAGCAGAGCTACTTCGTGCGTCTGGGCTCCCTCTCGGAGCGGCTGCGCCAGCGGGCATACGCTCACTCTCTGGGCAAACTGCAGCTGACCCGGCAGCGGGCCCAGGAGGCCCTGCTCCAGCTGG